CACATTGATTGTCTGTGTCCACTGTGCCATACTCGGAGTCGTTTGCGCCAGGCGTGAGTTTCTCAATTTACTCAATCGAGCTGTTTAGTTCCGCCTGGAACTGTCCATTAATGCAATGGACATTTCTAAACTTCATACATTTTTGTACTAACTATTAACACTGTATCATATCTGAGGAATTACATATGTATACTATATATTCAAAACTTAAACTCCACTTTATAGTATCAGCAAGAAAAAATAATGTCATGAAAACCTATACTTGTCAAAATCATGTGCAAGCCCGGGCTTATTGGCTTACATGGTAGCTACGCGCCTGATTACAAAAAGGCATCTGATACTATCCCCCATAAGCGTCTCATTCGTAAATAACACTCGTATACCTTTTGTAATCAAATTATTTACTGGATTTCAACATTTCTGAAAGGTCGAAAACAAAAGGTAACAGTAAACTGCATAGACTCGGAATCGACGAATGTAATATCGGGAATCCCTCAAAGCTCCGTGCTAGGACCCTTTATGTTTGTCATATTTGTGAATGACTTTCCAGGCCGCTGTGTTCAGTCAGACCTGTACCTATTCGCTGATGACACCAAGATTTTCAAAATAATACAAAACAATGAAGATAGTGCTGATCTCCAGAATGATCCCGAGGAAATGTGTAAATGGAGTGATACGTGGCTTTTAAAAATACATCCTGATTAAGTGCAAGTATATGAGATTAGGCAAGGTTAAAACCAGATCCACCTACTATCTTCATGGAGGAAACTTGCAGAACAGGAGAAAGATATTGGAGTTACGATAGACTATGAACAATCATTGATAAAATGAAAAGGGCTAATTCGATGTTCGATGCTCAGGAGAACGTTTCAGTTGATGGACCAAAAGTAATTTTACCCCTTATAGAGGTGCCTGGTAACTTGACGTTCCCACTAGGACTATGCAAGTCCAGTGTCACTGGGCAGCATATCTTTATAAACATATCGATAAGATAGAAGGAGTACAATCTTGGTTAAACGGTATATTGTATTAAATAATATAAGTTCATGTTTTAATTTTCAATGTGATGTAAAGTTATTGCAATCGTCTGCTATTTCGTGTCGTTCAGGTTTTTTTTATTTGTAATATGTATCAACCAAATACTTGCTTCTGAACAGCGCATGCGCACATCGACAAGCGCCATTTTGGAAGCAACATTTTAAATGGCTTGGGATGAAGACAAAACAGAGTAAAACAGCGTTATTTATTGATGTATTTACGGGACAGTCATGTTCATGGGTGACAGCGGAGTCTATTTTTAACTACTGAATTTTATTTTGACGCTGATAACAACCAAAATGTGGATACTCGACGCAGTTTACTCTTTGTTTTGGAACTCGCTGTTGGATTTTGTTTTCTTCATTATTATCGACGCCTTTGCAAAGATAACTTTGGGTGATTCAAGGTAAACATGAAGACTTTTCATAATTATAGAGCATTTATGGAATGATTGCAACTTTGTTGCATAGTGTATACGTCGAACGCCTTTATTTGTCAAAGCCGGTAGAATGTAGTCCTACTTTTCCACGCGACCATGCCAAATCCAACAAGCCGGTGTCCGTGTTGTAAAAAAATATTATCGTTATCCAAGACTTGTGGACAGGTTAAAAATCAGTAACTAGAGTGTCGGCGTGCTACCTATTTTTATAATATTTATCTTATGCTAATAGATATTTTGAAAGTGTTATCGTTTTTTTTTCTTTTGAAGACATATTTTGTAGACCTTGTTCTATAGTATGTATTTTTATTTGGAATTCCCCTTTTCTAAATATATATAATTTTAAACCGGAAACCAATAGGCACTTCTAACTTTCTCAATTCAAGAGCTACTGTAGTCTTATATTGGAAGTCGTTGAATAAAGTATTACATTAGATATAGTAAAATGGAAACAAAAAATAACTGCGAAATTCCTCTCAAATATATATATACAACTGACTTGCACAAGTAACATTATTTCATTTCAGTTATTTAATTCTGAACTATTGTTTTTCCGTCAGGATAATGACATAAGGATGTTGTAACAGTTACTAGATTTTCAGTTGCAATATTTCAGCCTGTGTACAGTTACATATATAGAAAACAATGTTTGAAGGTAATTTGCTAATGATAACTTTTTTTAAAAGGTTGTAAGATGCAACCAATTTTTTTTATATTAAAACAATTGCAGCCAATTCATGGCATTTTATCCAGTTTATTATTAAGTATTTCTTATAAATATCTTATCTTTTTTTTACAGGACTCCTGGAGAAAAGAAAACAATATGGTTTGGGGAGTCTGTCATTTTAGCCCTAACATCAATCATCATATATTTTTGTGACCACACACCGGTAGTGCTCATCTTTCTAACTATGATCACCTTTGTGTACACCCAGTCTAGTGGGATGGTCAATGTCAGGAATTGGTACATCTCACTGAAGACACGATGGGAAGAGTACCAGCAGCACCAAGACAGTGTTGAACGCATGAGGATTCACTTGAACAACCAACAGGCATATTTTCGTTCAGAGCAGATGCGACAAGAGGCTGCGCAGAGGTTAGCACCTTACAACAGAAATGTTCCTTTCCAAATGCAACAACAGCAGCAGCATGGAATGTACCCCGTCAAAAACCTTCAACAAAGTCGAATGGGCTTCGCTTCCAATACGCAGGCTAATCTTGCATCTAACCAGAATTTCCAACCCCCAAATGATGTAATGCAGCAGACACCAAGCACACCAAGTTTCTGGTCGAGATTGCCAAGAATGAGTCTGCCAAATGCATTCAAACGTTCTAGTGCTACAACAACTACAACCACTAGTTCAGATGATGACCATTATCAGCTTAGGAAAGAAGAGTACAGTTTTTCTACTGAGTTTTCTAAAAATTTAAGACCTAATAAGCAAACACCAATAGGAAAAGTTGATTACTCTCCTCCGATAAAGCCTTCTTTGTTTGGAGAGAATTTAGGGCGTAGACCTTTACGACGAGGTTTCACCAGTTGTCCAGAAAGTTCTATATCGGAGAGTTCTTCTCTCAAAAAACGGTTCATATCGGCATTTGGGTTTTCATCCACACCTGAAAAGCCTCCTGGTTTGAGGAACGAAGGACAAAATTTGTGTTTTATGAACAGTATACTACAGTGTTTAGCAAGGACTCCTAACTTGATTCAGTCATTAAGTACAGAAACCTCAAAGGAATCTGAATGTACTATGGAGGAGTCCTTGCTTTTAACTTCTATTGTAGAAATTCTAGAAAACTGTAAAGTAAAGGGCAGTGCCAAAGTTCTGGATCCTATTGCATTTCGTCAGGCAGCATCCAGTCTCCCCAACAGTGTGGTGGCTCTTCCAACACAGAGACAGGCACAGCAAGACGCAGCAGAGTTCTACATGTGGTTCATGGATTCCCTTCACTGTCTCCTCAACAAGAACAGGAAGAGCAATGCAGATGGTAAATAGATCCTGATTCTGATAATATATCATAGTTTAATTTCCTGCTCATGTCATGACAGGCACCAAAATATGTATATCAGAGCTGACAAGAACAAAAGCTGCAAATGGTCCGGTTCTTCAGATTGTTTTTAGAAAGTACTCCTGTACATCATATACTGTGCACTAAGGAATAGCTTTGGGGAATTTTGAGTATGAAATACATTTAAACTGTACACTGGTCACCAATATAAAATACATTTTAATAGAAATTATACAATGGTTATTTTCTTGCATTGCGTTATATTAAAATGTGGTATTGTTTACTGCATGCACACTATACATGAAATAATAAAACTTTACTTGAATGATAAAATACAGTCAGAACTATTATTGCATTTTGCTGTCTTGGAATGATTGGTTAAGGCATATGTGACTGAAACACTTTGTTTCTTTTTCAGAAGCAAAGAAATCGAAAGCAAGTGAGAGATTGAAGACTTTAAAGTTTATTTATGGAGACCTCAACCCAGCCAAGTTACAAGACCTCAAGTCAGCTTGTAAACAGGAGGTACATTATTAGCATAACCATTTATATACATGTTTATATATAAATTAAAGGGAACACATAAGTTAACATAACACATATATGCATTAAGTCCAGTGGATTTGAGACACATATTAAAGTAGACCTTGACTTATGCTTTAATGTGGGACTCACCAAGACTTTTTGAACCTGCTATATTTCTTAGTAATGGGACTCAAAATTATATAAATATATATTAAATATAATGTTCAGAACTCACATGAAACACAAATTCCATGGGAGTTGATCATGTGTCGCCTGTTCAGCGCTTTTAGTAATAAAAGTGTTTTGGCTTGAGTTAACGCGTAAACAGATATGCCAAAACAGGGAAAGTTGAAACTTGACAGAAAAACCTGTAATATATGTTTGAACATTTTTGCTTCTAGCATTACCGTACAAAATTTGAAAGGAATTGATTACAACAATTTAAAAGTTTCTACATTTACTACACGATGCTCTTACTTGGCAATAAAAGAGGTATAACTCCACCAAAAATGGATGTAAATTTCTGAAATGTGAACTTGTTAGAGCTATATTGGTATATGCAATATATGTGTATACGTACCAAGTTTGAGTTCAATCAAGGCAAGGGAACTGAAGTTATTGCACAGAAACCTTGTTTCGGACGACGCAACGATGCTGCTGGCAAAGAAATACCTAAATGTCCCCTCACGTTGTAGGCGACACAAGATTTCCTACAAAAATCACTTTAAGTTCGTTTATAAACAGAAAGTATTTATCTCTTTGTTGTTGATCTCGCACACACCCATTACTAGTATTATTGGTCAACGATACAGTCAACGTAAATTCTGACTTCAACTTACATACAGAGGCATATTGTTTTTAAATATAAGTCATATATGTATGTAGCATAGCTATATCCTATTAAGCTTCCATTTGTTTTTTTCTGTGTCTCGATAACGGAGAGAATTTCACCGAAAATACTGTTTGTATTGTATATCTACACTGAAATACTTCCTTGCCCCATATACCAATTTCAAGTAATTCATATCCACCCAATATTCATTTGTATGGATCCAGTGTTGTATGGGAATTTACTGTTGATTTTACTTCTTTGACCAGGCACATATAGTATACACACACATGTACATGTAATTTAGATAAAAATGACGAGAAAAAAAGGTTGTTTGGTTCTTTCAAAGACCTTATCTCTGATATTGCATTTTGTCAGAAAAAAAGTATGTGACACAGCTGGGTAGTGTCATGCTACAGTATCAGTTATGTTAAGGTTATAATTCACGGAGAGGACATTTGAAATGAAATTGTGCTTGTTAAATTGAGAATAGTCCCATCTAGGTCAGTGCAGATACAAAAAAAATAAGCTTGTAGAAGACAAACCACCTTGTGTTGCTTAGATATATGTGATATTTATTCCATTTTTTTTTTCAGATTGACCAAGCCCATGGTTTACAGAATAACTCCTATGCAGAGCCAGTACAACGACTGTCCGATTTAGAGTGGCTTACCTACAAAGCTGATAACAACTCTATCATAGACAACTCCTTCACTGGTCAGCTAGTCATTGGCTATCACTGTCTCACTGACAACCGCATTACAGTCAACATGCAGACCTTCAACATCCTGCCCGTGCCTATCGTCCCCCCGAGAGAGGTCTCGGGTTTGGTCATGCTGGCAGATTGTTTCACCACATTTTGTAATGTAGAGCATCTGACTGGGCAGGATGCTCTGGATCACAACTCGTGGTGTCCTGCGGCAGAGAAATGTACAACTCCTGTCCAGGGTCTGTCCACTCCATCTGCACCAAAAGTGAATGGGAGGAAGAGAGGTTTCTCAAGTGTAGACTCTGCTGTTGGTAGTCTGGGCTCACCCTTGACAGGTAACCCAATGTCTCCCATCCCAGGCAATGGGGAGTTTGTCAATGATAGTGGCTTTCAGGACACAGTGTTCAAAACGTCCACGCCCATTGCTGACTCGCAGTTTAGCTTCATTCCTCAGCATCAGAGGCTGAAGGATGCACAGAGAAGATGTCTTCTTCGTCAGTTACCTGAATGTCTCGTCATACAGCTAATGAGGTTCAACTACAATCCATTCACAAGACAATCTAGCAAGGTTCAGGCACCAGTGTCTATACCCCTGCGGGATCTAGACCTCACACAGATCATGTTTGACACCGTCACCAATAGGGAAGACCTGTCGGCGCCAGAGCACACTCACAAGTACGACTTGTACGGAGTTTGTGTCCACCTTGGGGCAGACACAACCAGCTACGGCCACTACATCAGCTATTGTCTTCAGTCGGATAACAACACCTGGTACAAGTTTGATGATGAAGACGTCACTGAAGTTAACATGGAGTATGAACTTACAATGCGTGAGCTCAGAGAGAATGCATACATTCTCTTCTATAAAAAAGCAGCATCATCCCCGTCGTAAACCTAATTCAACATTAAAATTGTCATATTTTGGAACTTTTTTTCATGATTCATATTTTTTTTTATAAACATCTGATCTCACTTTTCCTCATAAGTATCTGACTCATCGTTAAAGTCTTTGTGTATGTTTGAATTGCAAAATGTATATGTACCCTAGCTGCTTAGCTGAATGTTAATAGAAAAATGTAAATGCATGTAAATAACGTCCCAAAATGCTTCTATTTGCTTTTTTTCAGTATGAATGTGTGTTCTCAAATGACTCATAAAGAAAACTAATGGATTCAGAAATTTTTTTCCAGTTTCATTAACTGAACTGTTTGTGGTAGTTATGAGAATGTCATTTGTCTTTTATATCTAGCCTTTAAGTTATTTGACATACTTACAGATAACCATGGTAGATCAAATACTGCACTGAGAAAAACATGTACATTATGATAGCTTTATATAGATACAGGTACAGGTGCATAAATTGATGTTAAAGCCAAATATTTTTATATGTACATGTATGGTTTTTCCAGATTTGTATTTATAAAATGTGTCTAAATTAAATATAGGTTTCAATTGATATTTGTTGAATTAGGATGACCTGCATGTGGAGTTGTAAATTTAAAGCTGCAATGTGTAGTTTTGTTCCCCACACTATGATTTTAATATATTGTTGAAAATCTATTGTTTGGTCTCAATCCGATAGGTCAGCTCCTTTTAATTATATATATACCCTGGCAATTTTCAGAGGGATCACAGTAATTCGATTTTGTAGGATAGGCATTGAACAGGTAAAACAGGCTTGTGGTTCAAATGATTTATTGAGAAACGAGTTTGAAGAGATTTGAATGAATATGGCACTGCTGATACTTAAAACTAATTAAAACACAGGTTGGCTGTTATTGTTCTTTAGGGACTAGATTCATGAATAAAACGATTTAAGACAATATTATACAGAATAATGTTCTGGTAGGAAGTACATGTAAATAGGGTCAGGGATTGGACGAAATGATGGTTTGGCTAAGACTTAAATGGTCATTTAATTACATATTAGAATGTTTTATCCGGGGCCAAGGCCAATGTTCCAAAATAACTTGTGTTTGGCGATGACATTGAAAAGAAAGTGACAACTTTATATTAATTAAAAGTCAATACCATTAAAGTACGAAATGTATTTGACATAATCACTGAAGCTTACAAGTCTATGACAAATGGAAATTGTTTAAAATGGTCTTTCTCTTAGAAATTAAATGTAGATACAAAATCTCCACTAGCTCCTGCATGGTTGATCGTGAGCTGTAAGAGAAAATCTATAACTACAGTATTCAAAAAAGGGACACTTGCCAATTAAAAGTTTTTGACTTTAAAAAAAATCAAAATTTGGAGAAAAATTATCTTGCATTCTCTGAGCTATGAGAAGGCTCGAGTAACCCACAAACTCTGTCCTAATGCCCTATCAGAATTTTCTTGTCAACAGCAATTATGACCCAATGTTGTTATGAAGGGTTATGTATCTTTATCAGGGATTTAAATGTAGTATGTTAGGATTAGTTGTGAAACAAAATTGAGTTATTTTGTAAATGTATTAGAAATAACTTTAGTGTTTGTTGCTGGACACAATAATGGCTTATATTTTCTCTCTTGAATTTCAATCTTCATCTCCTAATCTGAACTCTGAAACATGTTCTACCTGGTATATAGGTATAGCTTATAATGTATTCTTGCTTAATGCTTAATTAAAGCAAAAGTAAATATCACTCATTTCGGTAATACAAGTATGTAGGAATATGTAATAATAAGACGTGGAGAATCTGATATCCAAAACCTTAGGAATATATTTTTGGTAAACATAAATAATCTGCAGGGAGGAATATATTTCTGGTAAACATAAATGCAGGGGAAAAAAAAGACATCTTATAATTTCCCCTATATTTATGAACATAGAGAGTATGAGTGGTAAATAAAGAAATGTTCTTTTAATCAGATTACAGTAAAACTAGGATTTCTTATTTAGATATTTAACATTTAACAGAAATACAGTATTAATATGTTGAAAATGTTGTTGGGCGATATATATAGTGTATATATTTTTCATTATTTTGAATAATTTAATATTAAGTGCAGCTATTCCAATTTTATATTCTTTCTTGGAAAACCTTGTTCCTATTTCATGTCATGTTTGACCAGTTGTATGCATGATAAGTGCTGGAAGAAATGTCATGTTGACTGTTTATATTGCCTGAGCATTTAGGTACACATGATGAGTAGTGTATAGAGGTGAATCAAGTTTTGTAGTTAAAAATAGGGTCATAATGATTTTCCTTAATTTCAAGCATCAATATATAGATGAATTTCGTCTTCAAATCCAAGGGTTTACAGATTTAACCATGTGTTGATATGTACAGTCACAGCTGTTATAACAGTCCACGACCATGATATTCCTTTTGATTAATAATGTCAGAGCTGGATAAATAATATTTAAGACAATAGCTATATAGGAGTTTCACTAATTTTGGCTAATTATTATGGGTTTGTCAGAAACACTAGCAATTGTTTTAGGAATTTTTCTTTCAACAGTGTTATTAATGGAAACTCTGAATGTCTTTGATACTGTTAAAATAACTGACACTTGACCCTTCTACAAGTAAATTACGAGGGAAATCATCTTTAATAAAATATTTCAAAACGTTTTTCTACACATATTTTATACTAAATGTAACAAACCCAATCACTTTTAGGTCCTTACCTTTGCATTGTGGGATATTAATGTGGCATTGTGGGATATTAATGTGTTCTTAACTTTGCATTCGATGTCAAACTTTGAAATCATCATTGATTTGCTGTACAAAATTAATATAGTTGATAAATTATTTGTGAATTTCAAAATCTGTTTTGTTTTCATTGATGATAACCATGTATCACAAACAAGTCTGCAATATTTTAAGCATTAGCATTGGGAATCGGTTGAAATTTCACAACTTTGTTGATGTTGCGAGTTGTTTAAACAAGTAAGGAACAAAACCAGAGTTTAAAGTCTGTTGTGATGCCAACACATACAGCAGCTGGAATATCGGACCTAACTGAATATCTGCTGCTTTACTCTAGTTAAGTGTACGTATCTAGCAGGGAATGTAAGGAGATGGGCTTGAAATCATGAATCACTACACACCTACATATTTGTCCCACACAAATCTTTACACTGTTTCCAAATCTGACGAGAAACATTAAAATTGCTTCTTGCAATCTAACCATAATATCTAAACAATTATTCAGATTTAGCTTAATCATGAATTCAATTAATAGGTCTATTGACACGACTAACAAATAGTTGATTAATCAGAACATCATTAACTAGTATGTTCAAATACATGTATGGGATTTAAGCAAATTCATGCAAGTCATGTTGGTCTAGCTAAAAGTAATCGTGAAAGTAACGATTAACCCAAAGGACCGTGTTACTAGAATGTATGTGCAGTGACATAACTTTAGTCTCAAATGTTGTATCCTTAGATGCTTCGTGTCCGATATCAATATCAAATGGTAATAAAGTCTTGTGAAGTGTAAATTTAAAACATATCAAAATATTACAGACATCTCACCTTAAGAAATATACTTATCAGAAATTTCATTGAGTGGAACTTAAAGACAAAATTCTTATGAAAAAGACATCCCAGGAATATCTTGACACTGTCTTAAGATCTGAAACTCTTCTAGTAACTCTCAAAATAAATGAGGAACAAGGGGAACCTGGATACAAAATTTAAGACAAGATTTGTTCAGTAATTCTTGAGATATGCCAATAACAAGGATTGTTTAAGAATGGATGCGTACAACGGACCACGGATGAAAGATGATTTGAACAGCCCACAATCTGATAACAGCCAAAAAAAGGCCAACGGAGGTAATATCATAGTATTTATCTGGAAAGAAATGAAATGAAATAAAAGTTTGTTGCACAGTAACAGCTTTATTGGTTCCAAACCTGGACATACAAATCATACAATAACTTCCGCACACACACGTCAGCAATAAAACTACACAGACCTGGGAGTAGGACCAAATGCAGTCACAGACTTAATGTAACACTGCTTCTTACAGCTAATTAACAATGTCCTCAACACTAGACACGAATATGCTTACACAACAAAAACCAAAGATTGGAACTGGTTTTTATGAAATTGTAGACAATATTTATGTAAAATGCAGCTAGCTTTTAAGCAGGGTACTGGATAGATTCCATGCGAGTTTGAATATAATATCATAACACTACGGATGAAGAATATCAATGATAGATGTCATTCATATTAATGGCCGAGTTCAATGAACACAATTAAATTAAAAATTCAGATGCATTTGTGCCATCAAATAAGTCTTAATATTCATTATACACTAAATTAATATGAAATGTTTTCTAAAATTCCTGCAGATTTTCAAAAAAGCTCATTTCGAGCATTGTAGAAGGGGTTAAACAAATCACCAAATTCTATAACTACTGCTCGGGTACTATTTAGCTGGACATGTTTACTTGAGGGCTGTGGTAACTTTACACAGTTGAATATTGAGGTAGTTTCAAAGATGTGCCGCAGTTGGAATCCAATGTTAGGCAAGCTTGCCATAACTATTTCTCTTTCACTATGCTGTATTTCTTACTTGTGAGGTGGAACACAGACATGGTGGTATTTACCGCCGCTAAATTTGAATACATGTACTAACTATCTAAGTAGTCCAAACATAAAAGATCCTTTTGTACATTAAAATCGACATAAAACTTTCGGCACAGCTTCTTCAGCCAGATGAATAAAATGAAAGCTTAAAACAAAGGATTGGTGGAAGAACATGCCGTTTTCTACATCTATTTAGTACCGATACATGCATGCTGCATTTGTTAATGTAACACAAATGAGAAAAGCTTTGTAACATGGAAGATAGAAATTTAAATATTAATACTTCGAGTTGAGGTAGGGAGCTTAATTAGTACAAATACTACAATGTAGATTCTTGAGATTTTCCTATATATAAGGATGTGACACTGGAAAGAGAGTAGAACTAGCACAATTCAACTGAAACATGTAATAATAATTTTATCTCCTATCACATGCTTTTCATGAATCAAGGTAATCTATTGGAACAGCTAGCTATGTAGTTTGACAGATCTCGTAAATCTAAAATCTGGTAAAACAAATATCATTACTCTATGCCTCCTAGTCATGTTGAAAGAATTTGAACTTTTTCATACATTTGACCTTGAGACTTATATATTGGGACTAGGTAATGTATACGAACATTCTCTTCTTTCCTAGCAAATACAAATATTATAGATTCTATTCATTATTACAGAACATTATCTGATTTTTCTCGTGCACAGATGTTCTGTTCATTTTTAAATTGTTGGGACACATGACATGTACGAACTGTGATAACATTTTCGAGATAGTCAGAATAATTCCATATAATAATACTTCAGATCAAGAAGATATTGGTAGATGTAGGTAAAACCAGAACCTAGTTTTTGAGAATTACGTTACCTGTTCCTTAGTACCAAAATACTGCTAAAGTCAATCAGAGATTGTTATGGAGCAAAGTAGAGTTAGTGCGACAGTGTACTAGATATTTAGATCAACACTTTATGTAGAGTGATACCACACAAATGGCTAATACAATAAGCGACCCTACCCCCCAAATTCCATTCTCTTCTCCCTTTGCAGAAAAACTTGTCACCATATTACCCCTCTAGTCTAGCACTGTAGTTATGTGCTTTTTGTAAGAGACACATACATTTTTGTAAGCAATGGTAAGTGTTTTACTGGCAATGTGGAGAAGAATGGTCTCTTACTGGCTTTTTTTTTGGAAACTGAATACAAAACTTTTTTTTTTTTTCCAAGATCAATTTCCTATGCACCTTATCCGAGGAATATAAACCAGTATTACACTTAAGTCAAAATATCAAAATTCAAGCAAATCAAACAGTTCTTTTCTACAATTCTGATTTTATGTAATTGTAGAAAAGAAGCGTAAAATAAGAAAACATTATAAGTTAGGTGTAAAAGTTTGTTCCTGGTTCCAGGGCTTTGTGTTTTAAATACTTGGTAAATTATATAATAATATAGTTTTGTTGATATTTCACAACTCTTTACATGTCTGGAGTCTATTTATATAGAAATTCTACATATATCCTAATTCTATTGATATCTTAGCCAAAAAATTGACACCGCAAATATCAGATGACAGATCAAAACATTGTCACAGTAGTAAATAACGGTATGTACAAGGGAGATAATTTGTATAATGATCACAAGCCAAGTTTAAGTCTCCTTTTTAAACAGGTATTGTTCAGGATTAATATCCAGGTAGATCCACAATGGCATTACATTTCAAGTGAACTTAGCAATAAATAATACGCTGTTATGACAACGATGACAACCGTTTTCTGATAACATTATTACACTCATGTGTATTACATAATTAAAAACACTTGTTGTATAGTGAATACACATCGACACGTACAAATACATGTTTATACACCGAGAGTTACACATTGAGGCAAGCTATACGAGTTAAATGTCATTTTCAAGGTAGCGTAATATACTATAAATCATTTAGAGCTTATATTGCAACTCTACAGGTATTGTGTATATTTCTACAATCACAATTAAAAGTCTGACATATATAGCTGCAGTAGATCTAATCATAAAACGACATGACGATGAGGAAGGTGCTTGAAAAACAATTGCAAAATGAGTTTTAAAGGAAAGTTTGTGGTTTACAGTACATGTACTTTATTCAACAAACTGGCATGCTTGTTACTATTCCACAAGCAATCTTTTTGATTGACATGACTAAGTTCAGATATGACCTCGCAAGGGAGGCCACTATATATCATCATACTTGGACAAACATCTTTTATGAAGCAGTAAAAATACTTTGTGTCAGCTGCTTCAGTGGTATAATGTAATAATACGTTCCGTAATGTGGATTCTGAGTCAATGTTGTACAGTAAAACTGAAGTACACTGTAGTTACCTGTTAACATCCCCTTTTAATCCTTTCACCACTGTAGACCGTAATGGACTCATCCAGATCAGTGGATGGGATAGTCTACTAAAGTTTCATAGGGGTGAAACGGTTAAAGGGATTACCTTTAGCAGGTACTGTCGACTAGTAATCATTAATATGGAAAAGGTAATGATTTAAATAATAATAAATTCAGACAAAAAATAAATGTAAGTGTCATCACAATCTCAAATTCTCTCAGTCTGAATCACTTTTCAAACCTGTTTTCTAATTCTACTAATTCTACTTGGTTTTTATAATATTTTGTTTCATTTTTCTGCATTTAATTTTAATGAAGATTTAACTTCAGCCCTGTAACATTAACCCTTTCACCACTGTTGACCAAAATGGACTCATCCAGATCAAAGCATTGTATTGTCTACTAAGTTACATAGGGATGAAACGGATACAGCAATATACAGGGAGCTTCACAATTACTTAAAAAGACACAAAACACCTTTAATAAGCTGCTGAACACCATTAAATGTCGGGGTGTACATTTCTGAAGGTCACTACATATATAATAGTTCTGTTTTGTTTATGGCACTCGTGTCAAACGGAGAACCAATGCTTTCTGGGAAAATCCTTAAGGTCTGGTAACCTTGTCTTGTAAAATTTATGAAACTAAACTGGTGTGCTAATCAATGATCTAAGTCTCAAACTATAAGGAACCAACACGCTGCATATAACTGTCACCTCGTTCAAATATTGATCGGGGCACTGTACATGTATACATAGCTTTAACTTACAAATAATAAAATAACATAAAATAATGCATGCAAAACTGATATAAAGACATGTACAAAATTAAAATAAATATCTTAAAGATTAAATTCAACCTAAAAATTGTTCTACAGTCAATAAAGAGAAAACCTACTGCAATATACGCAGATAAGTATGTACTATTTAAAACGTCGGTTCTTAATACTTAAAGTGATAACAACATTATGTCAAGGCTATGATATATGGACGTGCTGAATTGTAGGCTACTGTTGCATATTGTTATATATAATAATCACTGGTATCATATTTGTTACAATTTGGATGTCTGATGAAGACTGAATTGGTGGTAGACGATGCAGATACTCAATTACAATCTTGGCATTTTTACAGTATTTCTGGCAAAGCTGTTTCCCCCATCAGGTGTCTGATGAAACATGTTGATGATGCAGGAACTCATGATGCTCCAGACATAAAGAATTTCAAGTAATGGTGATTTCAGATAAGGTGTCCGATGAAATTTTAACTTATGGTAGGATTTGTTGCATGAACTTCTTGTTTATCAGACCATTGAATAATTTGAAAAAAAGGTTTCCATATGAGGTGTCGAATGAATGTCTGATGTACTTAGATGTCACAGAACAGACACAAATGTACAAACTCAAAGGAACCTTTTTAATCCAGACGATGATAAATATTTCTTGAAAAATAATTTCCATATGCTCAATGACGATGATGATTAATAAGATATTGTATTAATCAGTGGGTTTAATACTGTTCTGAAATGTTGTAAGAAATTCAGGTGTCTGAACTGAAAAGGCTCAACTTTTTAGATAAAAAATATCTCATGAAGGAATGGTGGTCTGTCAGCAGTATATATTATGATGAAGATTAAATGATTTATCAACCCCACAAGAATTGTCCATCCAAAAATCTGACACATGTCAATATTTTATGCCCAGTAAATCTTACGATCTAGCAGACCCAAACCTTCCATTCAGGTACAGAATGTATTATGCAAAATATGTAATTTAAATAAAAAGACAAAGGCATAGTATATAAATTTTAAAATGAAGAGTTAAAATATATGCAATATTCATGAAGGTATGTCTTCAAGTATAAAAGTTAACTAAAAGTTTTATTAAGAGATTTAAAAGGGTAACAAATGTAATATCACATACAGTGAAACCTGTCTAGAAAGACCACATGTATAACAACCTTCCTACTTAAAACAACCTGTCTATAAGACCACCTGAGTATAAAGACCATGTTTGTTCTTTACCTGGGGGTGACCTTTGTAGAGAGGTTTGACTGCACGTAATTTATGCAGAACACCATCCAGACGGACAGAAAAAGGCAAGACAACATATGTGTAGGGTCGACACAAGCTCAGCTCAGGCTCGCTGTCTACAAAGCCTAGACAAACCACACTCAATCACATAAAGCAAGATATGCAAGCCTATCTCAATCATTTGACAAGAAACAAATATTTGGGATAAGATTGTTACCAACCTTGAAAAACATAGTCTTCACATTGGCATATACATGTTAAATGGTACGCATACCGTATATGGATTATTTTCTGTACATTATAATATTTCGTAACCTAATTGCACTGTGGCTAATTATCTATTACACTGAGAGCCCTACATCACATACAGTTTTAATTAACTGTAAATACAAACAAAGACGTTTTAAAGCAATAATGGAGATACATTTTGTAAAATTCGTAAAATGCAAGAGCAAATACACTCCAGGTAGATCTTAAGCATCTTGGCACAAAGACTAAGTATAGTATTTTATACATGTAATAGGAATATTCATTTGGTTGCATAAAAGGATATATATATATATATGCTATATATAAACAACTGGAGATTGTATCAAAGAGAGATAACTCATGAAACATCAGCTGTGGCGGTAGATGGAGCTAGGACGTCGGGGTCCAGAGACTCAGGAGCAGTCAACACATATGGGTCTGATTTGTCAGGGGTGGAGCCTCTCGACATGTATGGTTCCGATTTGTCTGGAGTCGAGCCCCGTCTCCGATGGGCTTTCTTTTCCTGTCGATGTATTAACTTCATCCGATTTTGTGTCTGAAAATAGATAAGAAATGCCATCACATTCGTTTGTGTGTATTGCATATATAACCTAATATGAAGTCTGCATTACAACTGTCCCTTCACACAAATGTCGGTGAACAATGAGGGGAACTACATGATCTTGGATGATTCAGTTCAGAAACGAATAACAGAGCTAAGTACTTTACATTAATTACGTCATTTAGTTGACATGGACAAACATTACATAATGAAAAACATGATATTATAGGAATTTGACACAGATAAGCGATATTTCCTTCACAGATGAACAATGTCTTTAACTTTTTACAATTCTAGGGGTCTGAAAAAAACCTTCTAACATTTTGAGTTATACTCCTAAAGTTACCAATCCCCGTAATAAGCTCTGAGATCTCAAGGCTGAGGTTTAGTATTGTATAACTCTGGTACAACCATCCTAAAGTTACCAATCCCCGTAAATAGCTCTGAGATCTCAAGGCTGAGGTTTAGTATTGTATAACTCTGGTACAACCATCCTAAAGTTACCAATCCCCGTAAATAGCTCTGAGATCTCAAGGCTGAGGTTTAGTATTGTATAACTCTGGTACAACCATCCTAAAGTTACCAATCCCCGTAAATAGCTCTGAGATCTCAAGGCTGAGGTTTAGTATTGTATAACTCTGGTATAACCATCCTAAAGTTACCAATCCCAGTAAAAAGCTCTGGTATAACCATATGCTCACCACTTCCTTCAGTTGATTCTGAAGTTTTTCCTTTTCTCTATTTAACTTGTCTATTTCATCATTATTTCGCTGCTTCTTTGTACTTGTCATTTCCAACAGAGCGATATTTGCATCTTTCTCACTGATGGCAGCTTGAATGGCTTCTTGTCTGTTGATAAAGAAAAGTTTAATTACATTGGTTTGTCTTTACCTCTTTATCAACATGACAAAGTATTGTAAGTTATCTATAGTCCCCACCTCTAGACAAATCTTGTATAAAAACATTAACAGAGAGCCTCAACTCTGGACATAGTGACACACTGCATACAAAACTTGGTACTTAGGGTACATTCGCGTTACCGGTTGAAACGGTTGAACCTGTTGAACCTGTAAAGAAAACGACAGGTACAGATCTGGACCGAGGCTGATCTCAGGAAAATTTGGCACGTTTAGATTGAGGGGTCCAGACCTGCCTGAGCGAAACTAAAATGCTGACTATTGCCAATTTGCGTTATTTCTTTCTAAAACAATGTCAAGTCACATGTAGTTTTTAAGTTACGTTATGTAATTCAGTGGACGGATGAAAGAAGGTCATAATATTCTTGAAACACTGTTTTTTTATTCTCCGAAACTGTGGATTTTTAGCTCTGTATATAGAACGATCCAAGTGTGTTCGTTTATCATGGAAAATTTCTGCGCCACTCGTACCGTTTCAACCGGGATACGCGAATGTAGCCTATGTAATTGAAGGTCAGTTGAAGGGCCATATCTCTGTATAAATAATGGGGTACAAGACCTGATTTCAGTATGTGACACTCCTCCATTCCAAAAGATACTCACATACAGAATTTGATAATTGTAGATGATGGAGTATGTGAGGTATGCCCCGGAGGAAGTGACACAACAGGTGAACAATGGGCTATAGAACTGCATAAAGTCAAGTTCTAGACCCAATTTTCGTGTTACAATCTACCATTTCTTATCAAGAAAAGCATTGTCTTTATTGCCTAGTTTTAAATAACCATTGAGATTCTATCTAACATCCATGTGTAATAGACATCTTTATGCCATTTCAAGGGAACTGCAGTACTATGAAGCTCTTAACTTACTTCATTTCATAAACCTCCTCGAGATGTTTGTGGCGTTCAGACATCAGCCGTTTGAGTTTGTGGTCCTTCTCCTCCAGCTGTTTGTTCAGTAGGACCAGTTTTTCTGACTGTTCAAGGGACTTTTGTCTGTTTAGTTCAATTGTTACCTCTGAAACCTGTCAAAACAAAAAGGAGGCTACAAATGTACAGCTCTTCATGTTCCAATCAATTGTACCTGCAGCAAATCCACAATCATTTTTGTCGATTGATACAGTGAAATGTTACACTTTCCAATATAAAGTTGATCATCCAAAATTTGCAGATTTTGTTCACTCTGTGTAAATTATAATTAAACCAGAAAAATAATCACCATCATATTGTATACAATCATATTAAGTCATCAATCAACATAGTCAAACTATCTCATTTATTTAACAAGCACTATAAACTACACTGTACTTGAAATCCTGACAGTTCGGTGCATGTGACATGACCAAACACCCGCTAATATTCACTGCCAGTTCCAGTTGTGATAAACCAGTAGGAAAACTGCTTGAGAGAATTTTATTTCCCTAGGATTATATTGTACCTTGTCTTTTGTCTCGTCCAACTGGGCCTGAACCTCAACCATAGCCATCTCCCTTTCGGCGGTAATCTTCACGCTTTCCTTTAATGCCTCCTCCAATTCCTCTATCCTGTCTGACTGAGATATCAACCTGTCCTGAAACCATCAATGTGACTTTAAATCTAAGAACAAACCCCCTAGGACAGAGACATATAGACCAAGTGGCAACCCAATTTTCCTGTCAGTAAAAAGTCATAAGTGATCAAATTTGTCTGTAAAAAGGTTTTTACATACACAAATGAATTGCCATATTCATCCTTATACATGTTATAACTAAGGAACTCCTTCACCTGTAGCTATGTGGCATCCCACTTAGGCTCCAAGCCCCTTACCTATAGCAATTTGGCATCCTCACTAAGGTTCTCCTCCCCTTACCTATAGCAATGTGGCCTCCTCACTAAGGTTCCCCTCCCCTTACCTATAGCAATGTGACATCCTCACTAAGGTTCTCCTCCCCTTTCCTATAGCAATGTGGCATCCTCACTAAGGTTCTCCTCCCCTTACCTATAGCAATGTGGCATCCTCCCAAAGGTTCTCCTCCCCTTACCTATAGCAATGTGGCCTCCTCACTAAGGTTCCCCTCCCCTTACCTATATCAATGTGGCATCCTCACTAAGGTTCCCCTCCCCATACCTATAGCAATGTGGCATCCTCACTAAGGTTCCCCTCCCCTTACCTATATCAATGTGGCATCCTCACTAAGGTTCCCCTCCCCTTTCCTATAGCAATGTGGCATCCTCACTAAGGTTCCCCTCCCCTTACCTATAGCAATGTGACATCCTCACTAAGGTTCTCCTCCCCTTACTATGGTTTCTGTCCCTTACCTGTATCTGTGTTGTATGATACTATAGCTATGGGTACCCTTACCTGGAGCTGTGTTGTATGATATTATTACTATTGTTTCTGTCCCTTACCTGTAGCTGTGTTGTACGATACTATAGCTATGGTTCCCCTTACCTGTAGCTGTGTTGTATGATATTTTAAGAATGGTTTCCCGTCCCTTACCTGTAGCTGTGTTGTATGATATTATTACTATGGTTTCTGTCCCCTACCTGTAGCTGTGTTGTATGATACTATAGCTATGGTTTCCCGTCCCTTACCTGTAGCTGTGTTGTATGATATTTTAAGAATGGTTTCCCGTCCCTTACCTGTAGCTGTGTTGTATGATATTTTAAGAATGGTTTCCCGTCCCTTACCTGTAGCTGTGTTGTATGATACTATAGCTATGGTTTCCCGTCCCTTACCTGTAGCTGTGTTGTATGATATTATAAGTATGGTTTCCCGTCCCTTACCTGTAGCTGTGTTGTATGATACTATAGCTATGGTTACCCTTACCTGTAACTGTGTTGTATGATATTATTACTATGGTTTCCTGTCCCTTACCTGTAGCTGTGTTGTAAGATACTATAGCTATGGTTACCCTTACCTGTAGCTGTGTTGTATGATATTATAAGTATGGTTTCCCGTCCCTTACCTGTAGCTGTGTGGCATCATCACTAAGGTCTCCTTCCCGCTTGCGTGCCTCCTCCAATAGATGTGCACTCTTCTTTTTCTCAGCCTGCTTGTTCCTCTTCAGTGTGCCGACCTTCTGTTTGTACTCCTTGATGATACTGTAAGATAGAGGACTATTGTAAACCATAAGGTATACCTAGTATTACTTACGTCTAGTGGAAACATTCAATTTTAATTACTCTAAAGCTTTATTATTCTGGACCATTCTTCTAGCTTAGTCATGACATTATAAAGGGGATTGGACATTTAATTGAGGAAGATGTATAAAAGATATGTTAGGGAAAAAAACACTACAAGTTACTGGGGAGTGATTTACTAGTTAACAAATGAAATGTCGGGCATTAGTGTGAGGTTTTCCTGTACCATTATATATAGGGCTTCAGGGAAACTGAGACTCTGGTAATCAGTTACAATATGTGAAGTCTTACAGTTTTAAAAGGAAGCGGCAAATGACACATAATCTGTACTTTATTTCACTTTTTCTTTGTGATTTTGACATATATTTTTATGAGATATTAACTTTGGATATAAATGATAACATGTGAATTTTCCTTGTTTTAATGTCTCACTATATTTTAATTTGCCACTATCTCTCTCGAACCAGTACCACTAAACTTGTCCTGCTATCTATCCTCCACACCACTAATACAGTTGTCCATCTTTCTAGCAACAGCTGATCTGCCAGCCAACACTAACTAATCTGGTTGTTATAAAACTGAATACAGCTAATTGAATTGAATATAGCTACCACTACCTTGCTCTACTATTGCGTTACCACTAATCTATCCCACACCCCAGCCAATGTTTTAAGGGACAGATTGCCCTTTTCCTATACAACTGTTTCTGAGTAATTTAGTTCTGAAAATCTTGTCACTTTTGCTGGGAGCTAAGTTGGCTGGACAATCTAATGTCTCAACTGTATTAGGACTTATAGTAAATATGTTATACAATTCCATTGATACCTTTTGCCTCAATAATTTGAAAGTTTTAGAGGTCACTGGGTACAGAACCAGACTTACTCCTGTAGTTCAGTGATCTGTGCATCCTTATCCGACTTTTCTGATTCGGCCTCCTTGACGATTCCCTGGAGACGATCTGCCTCTGCATGTGCCTTGTTCACCTCGTTGCGAGCTTGTTCTAACTGGGATGTCATCTCGGTCACTTGCCTCTCAAAGGTATCCAGATTTTTCGTTTCAGGAACTCCTTTCTTGAGCTATGAGTATAAAACATGTATGAGTTTGACACATGCACGATATGAATATTAACCCTTTCACCCCTATGTAACTTTAGTAGACTCTACCATGCATTGATCTGGACAAGTCCATTATGGTTTACAGTGGTGAAAGGGTTAAAGGTCACTGCTTCAATATACTGTCAATCGTGAAATCTGTCCATAGTTTCATAGTATCTGACTTTTTACACAATAACAGAGGATTGACACAATCCTTTACTGAATTGGTACTGAAATACCATTTCAGTCATTTGACTCATACATGTAATACATGTTGCATATAGCACATTTTTGAGAAAACATGACGATTCTATTATTAATAAACAAAGTATAAATACTCTATTGAGAACTGTCATGTTACTTCCTGTTGTAGTGATTATCTGGGGTCAAGGTCACAGTTAGCTTGAACTGTTGAGTCAAGGTCAGTTTATTAGAACTGTTTGGGTTAAAGTCACAAATAACTAGAAATATAGGGTCAAAGGTCACAGTTAACAAGAATTGTTAGGGTCAAGGACAGTTAACAAACTGTTGGGGGTCAAGGTTCCAGTTAACTAGAACGGTTGGGGTCAAGGTCAAATCAATTTCTTGAACTGCTAGGTTCATGTTTGCATTTAATTAGAGGTGCTAATGACATTTTCCAAATAATACTATAACAGGGCGCGAAATATCCCCCCCCGTCCAATGGCCCGGGGCCAGGCAATTTGGATGGAGGGCAAGTGAAAATTTCTGGGGACTTGTCCGACGGGAAAGTGATATTTGTGTGCTGGATTGTAAAATTGGTAAGTTAAAATATTTCATGAAAACTGAAAAGATTATTGTCCTAGACAGTCTGCTGGGATAAATCTGTTTTCGTTTACAAGAGGCAGTATGGATGAATTATTTACCTAAATGACCACAAGTTAAATTAAATTGTCGTTTCAAAATACACTTTCATCTTTTTTCTATAAATTTCTTTGAAGCTGTAAAAAATAATTCCGGTCATGTAAAAATTTGGGTTTACCTGCCCGAAAGTCCTATAATAATATTAAAAGTTTGGCACACCCTGCTTGATGCATTAAGTCTTTATTGAACAAATAGTGATACTTTTGCTTAAAAAAAAAAGTTTCTAAATCTTGGACCAGTAAGTTTCTACTTCGGGCAAGTGCATTTTAAGATCAACTGGCCCGATATTTTTCTTGCCCTGCTATAAACAGGAAACAGAACTATGACCTTGACTGAGTTGTACAACATTACTGACTATATACCTCTTCCACCTGTGTGTTGAGCTCTCGTTGACGATCCTCCTTTGCTTGTAAATCATGATCAAGCTGTCTCACTTTGTTTTCTAACTGGAATTTCTCCTCACTGTCAACAGTTGCCTGTTCCCTCAGTTCAAAAAGTTCCGTCTGCAACAGTAACAATGAGATCAAGCTTTCTTATACTCAGAAAACACAAAACAACATGTACTCACTTCACTCTCTACAGTAGTTTTAAAGAGGGAACATCATGTTTTTATACTCAGACCATGGCAAAAGCTTCGCAATTCACACAACTTTCTACAATAAAAACAGGTCTTTATCCTCATACTTGGACCAAACCCTTTACTCAATTCACAAAACTGTGTTGTCCACAACAGTAGTAACGGAGACTGGAGATCAGGTTTCCCATCAGAACAGATCTAGCTGCAGCCCGTATATAAGGCAAACAGCTATATTACCCAGTTAATTAAAGAGCACTTTTCTATAGTGACCAACTCATCACTAAATTGCCTGTGATAATCATACACTGACTGTACCTGTTTATTAGAAAGTTCTAGCTGCAGTTCGTCCAGTCGTGACTTCAGATTCTGGTTACTTTTGATGTACATATCACACTCTTCTTGGTGCTCCAGGTCCGTCTTCTCACGTAGATCCTTTAATCTGACAAATACATGGCAATTTTTTTTTTATTATATTCTTTTAAGGCTATTCATATATTTTTTAATTCTTGGACTTTTCTTAGATCAGATTTTACTGTTTTAATTACATTGAATCTGATTTTTCTTACAATTTGTTAAGACTTTTCTTAACATTTTCCATTTGCTTTTACTTCAACTAAACATAACAATTAAAGTGCTTTTTGTATTTCCTGACTAATTGTAATTTTCACCTGAAAAATTGGCTAGGGAAAATGTTATTTGGGAACAGATACTTTTCTTTTTCTTATTCACTTATATTTCAACTGTTTGGAAGTGCCTTTAACAAGGATAATGACCAGCTCATAAACACACATGGGATCTGAAAAAGCTGGCATTTACCTGCATAAATCTAGAAAATAATTTCGACTTCCCAAATTCCCACAGCTATTTTTACATAGTTTGGGAATATGGATTAAAGCTGGATTTGTCATGGCCACAAATGTAGTGTAGGAATAAAATGTTTGCATTCATATTTTACTGCATGAATCTGTGGGAAATTTTCAGTTTCAATTTTTCTGTCTGTCACTCAAAGAACTAGGCTATTATTTATCATACACTATTTTCCATACCTTAAATCACAATACCTACTTTTCTATTTGTCTGTCTTTATCATTGAGTGACTCTTCCATGGAGGAGATGGCGCTGTCAGATGAGAAGGAATCCATGGCGACGGTGGCTGCTGCAGCTACAGATTTGAGACGTTGGATCTCTTCATCTTTGTTATCTATAGACTCCTCTGCCACCTCAATCTGTAACAAGTAGTGGGAGGTGTATACATCTACTATGTAGCCCTGGCCCTGTATAATCTGGACACCTGTATAAACCAGACCTTCATCTAGGTCCTACTGTATACGTTTCTATCTATGTAGCCCTGTATAATCTGGACAACTGTATAAACATCACATTCAAATACTGCATACCGGAAACTTATACCAGTAACCCTTCGCCAATAAAATCCATAATTGGCCTGTCTTAATTTCATCCCTTACATTTAATTACTACTTGTATATACAGGTATTAATTTGTTCATTAATTTTTGCCGTCATGATAAATTTTGTCCTCATTGAGGTGGTGAGAGAGCCAAAAGTTAAATGCAGTTTGTACCATATATTTTGTTTCCATGTAACCCTGCATAATCTGGACACTAGTGTAAACCAGACATTCAACTAGGCCCTACCATAAACAGTTCTTTGTAACCATGTACAATCTTGACACCTGCATAAACCAGACCTTCAACTATGACCCAATGTTTATATTTCCATGTAACCCTGTAATACCTACATATACTACTGCCATCTCTGTTTCATTTCTATTATATTAAATGATCATATGCAACAAGTAATATGCAAACATATATTTGTCTCTGTCATGTTTGGGTAGCTGCAAAATTTTGCTTCAATTTAATACAGACGCAGCATCAACTTCAACACTGGTAATGATAACGTGACCTATACAGCTTACTTTTCGCTGTAGCATGATGACCTATACAGCTTACTTTTCGCTGTAGCATGATGACCTATACAGCTTACTTTTCGCTGTAGCATGATGACCTTTACAGCTTACTTTTTGCTGTAGCATGATGACCTATACAGCTTACTTTTCGTTGTAGCATGATGACCTATCCAGCTTACTTTTTGCTGTAGAATGATGACCTATACAGCTTAATTTTCGCTGTAGCATGACCTATACAGCTTACTTCTCGCTGTAGCATGATGATCTATACAGCTTACTTTTAGCTGTAGCATGATGATCTATACAGCTTACTTTTGGCTGTAGCATGATGACCTCTACAGCTTACTTTTCGCTTTAGCATGATGACCTATACAGCTTACTTTTCGCTGTAGCATGATGACCTATACAGCTTACTTTATGCTGTAGCATGATGACCTATACAGCATACTTTTCGCTGTAGCATGATGACCTATACAGCTTACTTTTCGCTGTAGCACGCTGATCTTCCTGTCCTTGATCTCAATCTGGTCTTTCATTTCCCCAATCTCGCCCTCAATCTTTCTCTTCTCTGTTTGCAAGGAGTGGGAATGCTTAGCCTTTCTATCTATGGTGGAGTCTTTATCTTTCAATCGGTCTCGGAGATCTTCAATCTGTAGAACACAATACATTTACAACAAATGTTTATAAACAGTAGGATGTTATTTATAGAAAAAGAGGTAAAGTATCTATCAAATTTTCTTGTGGATAGTTAATGCAAAACATTTTTCTATTAGACATGAAACGGTCACTGTGTATTTGAGCCATGGATAGAAGTACGGGGTATATATAAATTATTTAGTTGGCTGAAGTACTTGCAGGCTATAAGGTATGAAATTGCCCCCCCAAAAAAAGGATACACAATACAGTTAAGTATTAACCTGAATTTTCGGATAGATTTCCCTCTACATGAGGAAAAAACCCAATAAAAGTGTAAACATATAATTCTCCCCCTCTTACCTTACCAATCCCTATTACAGACATCCCTGATTGATTTTTGTTTCCATGAACACCTTGACACCCACCATCATGAAATATTCATTTTTTTGTCATGTCAAAAATACATGTATACACATCTAATGGAAACTTTTGATTAAAACTTCATACTGCCACGTTTGATCTTGTCCTTTAATTTAAGGCCGCTTTAGAGTGCTACCTAAATGAAATACCATCCTGAAGGTACCCAGGAAGGGGAAGGGGATAACAATCTATGAACGTACATCTGTCTGCAGCATGCTGACGTGCTTTTCCTTGGCACTAATCTGATCCTTGAGTAGATCCACATACTGGATCTGCTCTGTGTTCTGACTCTTAGATGCCTCCACTTTTAATTTTAGTCCCAATATCTCTGTGTCCTTGTTTGCCAAGTCTTTCTTTATGTGTTCAATCTACAACAGTAAACCAGGTTTCCTTTGTCAGACAAAATAATGACATAACTGTATACCAAAAAAAGAAAGATTTTCTTTCGCAGACAAGTATTTGTCCTTCACTGGTAAAACACTTGTATAAGTAGAATGTGAAGTTTGCCCTTCACATTGGAATAACTATATATATAGTATACTGATTATATAATCATTTTCAATCAAAATAATAAAATCAAACCCAGATGAAAATTTCCTTGTACACTTTCCCTCTCTTTTCCCTCACCCGAGCTCCTTTTTCTGTGTGTATGTCAACATTAATGTTGACTTGCTAACTCTGAAAAACACTTTCATGTGAACTCCCTGCAATTATATATACCTGATATTTGTGATGTTTTAAACATACTCTAGTAAAAAATGCTTCAAGATTGTCAGTTTTGTCAAACAACCTTCACTGGTGTTTCAAAGAGAATAGTGACAGAAGCAGAATTGTTTCTGTATTTAAATTATACAAACATGACTTATATACCAGGCAAGCAAGTATAAGAGTATGATCGCAGTAAAACATTTTATTATGAAAACCAATAAATTAATTACATATTTCTTCATCCTAAATCGTTACTTAATATCTTTTCTTTTAAAAATAAAATCAAAAATTGCCCTCCAATTAAAACTGGTTGATCACATTTACAGCTATAAATCTTCAATTAATCACACTATTAATGAGTTACCTCATTTTTCAGTGACTTTTCCTTGCTGGATAGTGAATCTTTTAGACTACCATCCTTCTTCTGGCTCTCTGTTGTCCCTGTTCCCTCCTCCTGGAGCCGCATTAGTTTGTCCTCCAGACTCTGCACCTCTCTCTCTAGTGCTAAAATCCTACCATCCTGTCATAACAACGATAACACACATTTCAGTACTATATCAAACTTGGTCTGTAGCAGATATTTGAACACTATTACCTGGCCTCCTTAGTAGTGAAGATTATCTAGACCTCCAGCAGACCTGTAAATAATGAAGATGACCTAGGCCTCCAACAGACGTTGGAGTACAATGTAATACATGTATTTAAAGTACAAGCCCACAGGCAGAATGTGAAATAAAAAAGGGTACCAGTCATTTCATTTTCATTAGCCTGTTCATAACATTTTGAAAAATTGGGCTAGAAGAATTGTGCTATCCTGTAGTGTTGAAGGGTACATTGGCCTCCTGCAGCATGGCTTATGTATTGAAGGTGACCTTTATACTCAAAGAGTCATTTGAGTACAGTACATTACTTTGGCCTCCAGCAGAGTTCTCAGTACTGAACTTTCCATTGGCCTCCAACAGGCATTTGTATACTGAACATTACCCGAGTCTCTAGCAGGCCTTTTTAACTTTACCTTGGCCTCCAGCATGGCTTGCATAGTGTGTGTGCTGGCAGGCTGCTGTTTCAACTGAACCTTAATCTGCTCCAACTCATCACTAAGACGGTTGTTCTCCTAAAAACAATATAAACAGCATTAGTTTACAAAATTTTGTAATTCCTAGAAACATTAAATGGGTCTCAAAGACTACTGCAAGGTCATATAAATCAAGGTCAAGGTTCAAGGTTACAAAAAGGCATACACCATGCTGTACTCATACTGGAGCATTAGCATGTAATGTTACATAACCCTAGCTGTAGTACTTGATCCATAGCTACCATAATGCAAAACATTTCAAAATTTCAAAAATGTTCCACAAGACATTTTACTTATATATATGATACATTGTGTGACCCTAGCTCCAGTGCTTAGTTGACCTAATACAAAACTTTACCATCCAGACATCAAAAGCTGATGACCAACTGTCAAGGAAAGATTTCATTTACATGCATGAACTCCAGTTCAAAAGAGTGCAAAAAGGGTTCTACAATTATTTCACAACTCAAAACCCAAACTTTTCAATTACTTCTATTGATGCTGTATTTGCATGCATATATAATAGTGTACATTACCAGTTTGAATATTTTTCATACAAATCAATTCATAAATAAAGGATGACAACACTAATATGTAAACGTTATCAATATATGTACATACTAGTACTGTACAAACAAAACATCATGTACAATTCTAAATCCCTAGCTGCATTTAGGATTTTTACCTCCTTTGTTTCTGTAAGATCTTTTTCTCGGTGACCAAGTGAATTCTGTAGTTGTCGAACCTTCCTTTCACCTTCGATGACTTTCGTTTGTAATTTTTCCATTTCTTGTCGCTCTGCTTCTACCTTTTGAGCGGAACTAGACAATCCTTTACTTTGTAACATTTCTAACAATTTTTTTATACTCTCATCTCTCGCTGATAATGTCTGCTTCTGTGTTTCTATTCGTATCTCCATTTCTTCCACTGTCTTTTTTAGGATCACTATTTCTTTGGATTGTTTGTCCTTTTCCCGTTGTAGAATTTCAATTTCCTGTTGTGATATTTGACGACTGACATCAACATCTTCACACCCAAACAGCTTAGACTCCATGTCCTTGATGGTTGATGCCTGTTTCTGTTAAAAAAAAACCATCACAAAACAAGGATAAATATGTAGTAGGACGAGGAATAGTGATAAAGATAGTGTAATTGGTGGGGCTTGAACCAGCCACCCTTGGCTCTCCAGCCAGAAGCTTAAAGGAAATTTCCTACAGCTGACACTTTTGTAAGATAACCTAATCAATGCAATTTTTTTACAAATACATCTTTAAATAAAACAAGAGGCCCAAGGGCCTTAGCGGTCACCTGAGTTATATTATAAGTACTGGTAGCTTAATTTCATTGTTGAGTACTCCCTCCCCAAAGGAGAACGGATGGCCCAGGAATACTGAAATTTACAATTTAAACAAAGCCCCTCATGATCTATTTAATACATGCAGAGAAATTGACTGTAGTACCTCCGAGTCTGGAGAAGAAGATTTTTGAAATATTGGTTAATTTTCCCTCTGGGGCCCCATCCAGGCCCCTGGGGTTGGGGTAGGTATCCCAATTTTACAATTTTGTAGCCTCATCTACCAAGGATGATTATGACTAAGTTTGACAAAATTCCATCCACTGGTTCTTCAGAAGTTGAAAATATAAAAAGTTTACGCACGACGGCCGGAAAGCGATCAGAATAGGTCACTTGAGCAAAGCTCAGGTGACCTAGTTTATATTGAAAAACAATACAGTTTTTTACTGGCTAAGTTATACAGTGGCAGCGTCTAGAAATCTAAAGTAGGTAAAGTGGAAGCACAACTTATTAATTTCCTTAAAAAGTTGAGAGAATAAAAGAACACAAAGTTAGTCACCTTGAATTCTGCTTGTGCTACCTTCAGTTGTTCATTCAACAAGCAATATTTGGCACTTTCTTCTTTCCGTAAAGCTCGCTCCTTCTTCAATTCAGGACTCCAAAATGTTTTAATACTATTCATACTTGAACTTAGTTTATCCTTTGTAGAATCTAACTCTTGTTGTAATTTGGAAAATTCTTTGTTCAAATCAGCTATTTGGGCTTGAAAGTCCAATATCAAGGTATCTCTAAAACTTCTCATATCTTGGTCATGATAATGTTTCATTTCCTGAGAATTGAACAGTTGGGTTGTATAGTCCGGTCTTTCTGAAGACCTTGATCTTACAAAGGGTTGTTCAGAACGTTCAAGCGATCGTGCACCCATATGTGGGTATTCTCTATCTACTGATCTATCACATTTGTTATTCGCAGAAAAACCTAACGAAGATCTCGGACTTCCTGCCGGACTGATACCAATATCTCCTCGTGCAGAAAGCTGTAACCTATCTAAATTCCGCTCCAATGAACGTTCACCCATGAATAATCCATGCTGGTGATCTCTTTCGTACCGATCCTTCAAAGCTCGGACATTGAGACTATTTGTATTACTGTTTGTAGGACTATTGTAGGGACTTTTGGATGAGTTTGGTGATGGCAATGTGTTGGCACTGCCTATACCATCTATCATACTGTAGTTTGACCCATGGTTCATACTAGGATATCCGGCTGTGAAGGACTGCATTGTCTCATTGGGAAGATTGATTGCACTATTAGACTGAACACTTTGGTTTCCTTGTGACTTTTTGTCATCTTTTGATCCACCGGAACTTCTCCTGGATCTCGAGAAGAGATTCTTTGGCAGGGAGCCACTGAACAACTTGGAGCCCGATCCATGGCTTGGACTCTTGTTGTTTGTCTTCTCTAAACTTTTCTTGTCATTTGGTCTGTCCTCAGGACTATGCTCAGCTGAAGAGGTCTGAGACTGAGACCGCTTCTTGGATTTACTTCGAAACATGGTGACGATAGCGAATAAAGAAATGATTATTTACATAAGTAATATTGCACTTATTAACACAACTGTTACAGAATCGTTCCCAAACCGTAACTTAGGACACATCCTAGATCGGATGGTCATGGTTTAGATGCACAGCTGAGTCGAGCTGCACCCTGCTCGCGGACCGAAGATGCCATTATACTCAAACCAGCATGATACCGCCCTTTGTAGGCCTCATGCGAGGCACATCGTGGCAATCGAAACTTTGGTCATATGTACATGTCGCCACCAAACATCACACGACGCACTAATTTGCACAGCCCCGTCAAGTTTTCGGCTTCTTCTCATCAGCAACCCTCTTCTCTAATTAATATTTATGCACCGTCTATATCCGGTAAACCAATTTTTCGAAATGAAAACTAAAAACAGACGAAACGAAATACACACATTGGTAAGAATAGACATTATAATATATAACGTATTAGGTACTATGGAATTTTCCTGTGTAAGAGGAAATTATCAGGACATATCTGAATATTAATTTTGGAAAAGATATCAATAATTTGTCTTCTAAAAATTATATAATTTCTTATAGATGATATGGTACGAAGCTAAGATCGTGGCAGGGGGCAGATTGCAGCCCACTATAATAGATCATATTCCACAGACACTTTCCAGATGTTATTTTATGTAGAGTATTGTAGTATACGTGTACTTTTTAGATAACGATAAGCCTTGAACACGGCATATGGGTTGAAAGAATAAAGTGTCTTTTGAACAAAGGGAGACATACAATTTTTGTGGACTGTTTCCAGAAATTGAATATAATTAAGAATAAGATGCTGTCTGCTACAGAGTATAATGAGTGTTATTGACTACGTTTGTTATTGGTCTACATCGGCTCTGATATGATAAACTGATTAAATACTAATTGTAGATGTAGGTTTTATACACACATACACGAATTGACGAGGGGAACCTAGAGGGAGAGCAAGGGGTCATAGGACCAGTCAGATTCCCATTTGCTCTGTTTTACCACACGGGGCTATCTTATCTCTGACATACCTTGTAGTAACACACACAAACATGTGGCGAAATATTTACGAACCACCAGAGATTAATTCGCTCATATTACTTAGGATACCTACTCTACAGCTTAATGCATATATAATGCACTACATTTTTTGCTGAAAGTGACTTCAACACCTGGGTGTATACAAATATATTGAAAGCATGCCCATCCGTGATATATTTACTTAAAAAAGACTGACATGCTTGCTTGCATTCCGGGTTTCTCGTTACAACATTCTATATTTGTCTATGCTATTTATGAGAATATCCCTAGGGATATAGACTACTCAGTCAGTGGCGGACCCAGGGGTGTTGCCCTAGTTGCCAGGGCAACACCTTTTTTTTCTGTGTCCAAAAATAATCTGGACTTATGTTTTTGAAGATTTTTCTCTTTTACATATGGGATTTTCTTCTAATATCAACCATCCCATGGACTATGATTTTCTATGGCAAGCAGCAGTTTGAAAGAGCTATGAGTGATCAGCTCAGAGAATATTTTAATGGTATTTTTCATTCCTTCTTAGGAGCCTTCAGACCAGGATTTGGATGCCAAACTACCCTGTTAAGATTAGCTGAGGACTAGCGCAGGGCCTTGGATAGACTGGCGACCAGCCCCTAAGTTTTTATGAAGAATTTCTCGACTGCATTTTACTACTAGCTTATTTCCCCCTAGTTTAGAACTTAGGATCAGACATCCAAGTGATCAAAAATATTAGAGTTAGTTTTTTCTTAATTATTTGATATTCTAGAGACGGTGGCCAGTCTAGGCCTTGGACAACCGTGAGTATGTCGCTGCCATCCTCATGGATCTGTCCAGGGCTTTTGACTGCCTTCCTCATGATCTGTTACTCAGAAAGTTGGATGCGTATGGTCTCAGCTCGGGCTCAGTGGACCTGGTATCTAGCTATCTGGGTAACAGATTACAACAGGTCAAGTTGGGCTCCAAATGCGGCGACTGGTTGGTAGGGCTCAAGGGAGTTCCCTCAGGGCTCAATTATTGGGCCCGTACTTTTAAACATCTTTATTAATGATATGCTCTTATATGTCAAATGATCCAAACTCTATAATTATGCGGATGACAACACGGTGAGCTCATCCAACAAGGACCCTCTTGTTCTTAAGCAGTCCATTGAAACAGACTGTTCAAAGTTGGTTAACTGGTTTAACAAAAACTACATGAGGGCAAATCCTGATAAATTTCAGGCCATATGTCTAGGGAGGAAAACTATTTAGACTTTTAATTCTTTCAAAATAGAAAATGTAACCATTAAGCCTGAAAAAACTGTGAAATTACTTGGTGTCAATTTTGACTCATTTTTAAATTTTGATACACATGTTTCAGAAATTTGTTCAAATTAAGGCTTCTAGTCAGCTTAATGTTCTTACAAGAATTGGAGGTTTTTTTTAACAAAACAAGGTAGGAGAGTCATATATAATTCTTTTATTATATATAGTTTTCATTTCTGCCTACTGGTTTGGCATTTTACTAGCTTGAAAAGTGTGAGAAAGATGGAAAAGATTCAGGAGCGTGCACTGAGATTCGTGGAGAGTGATTATGTCTCAACTTTTAGTCAGCTTTTAAAATCTACTAATAGTACTCTTTTACATGTTAAGAGGCTAAAAGATATGGGCTGTGAAGTTTTTAAAATACTACACAAGATTTCTCCTAATTATATACGTGATTTAGTAAACCTAAGGGAATCTGCTTATGATCTCAGAAGGGACTTCACAGTCAGCATCCCATCTGTAAAAACTACAAGGTATGGGCAGAAATCCTTCTCGTTTGAGGCGGCCCGGGTGTGGAACAGTCTTCTAAATGAATTGCGGAGATGTGAATACTTCCCAGAATTCCGGAGGTTGGTCCACACCTGGGATGGTCCCATCGCGGATCGGTACATGTTCCATCTGTACAAAGATGAAAGATTGATTTTTGGTTCTAGGTTGTGTGTTTTTTTGCGTTTTTATTGCTCCAGAAATAGTTGTTATGCACAAGTTTTAGTTCTTAGTGCTGCTTTACTTACTTTTGTGTAAATTTTTCTTTTATGCTGTAAATTCCTTAATATTGTTTCATAAATGTATGCATTGTTGTTTTAGATTATGCTATATTAGCATGTATTCTGTCAATTTTTATACATACATTAGAGTGAAACGTCTCTTAAATTAATTTATATGCTGCATGAGCTTTATGTTCGCATGACCTTTACTTACCTAGCTATTTTACCTTTTATTCAACCATCTGTGATGCATGCTACCTTTGTGATATTTTATTGTTTCTATTAATTATGATTGTTAAAATAGTCGTAAGAATAGCTCTTCTGAGCTAAAGTTGCATTGTTACAAACACGACTCTAAATAAAAATTATTGTATCTTGTATCTTGTGCAGTTGCCCAAACAAGTAGTCCACTACGTTATACTCTAAACAATAGGGGGTTAATCCTCTTTTGTTTATATATTAGTAGGGTCTCCAGTCAGGTCAGTGGTGAAGGCTCAACGGACTGTCTACCTTAATCGTATTGTTCTAACGTCACGGTGTGGTGATCACCCTGTACGTTGAGAGAGGATAAACCATCTGTTGGAATTAGGCTAGGTATATAGGTTAATTGTTATTTCAAAGGTAGAGTCCATTTCATGGTAGATAAACCTGTATTTTCACCTGTGGTTTCATGTACACATGATTACCAGGAGTGATTTATTATACCTATTAAAAAATGTAAATTTCAAAAATTTCATAGACAATAAAGCATCCACCTTAGCATCACGTTATCAGGTGAATAATAACCAATGTTAGCATAAAAGCCTGGCATGTAATATATCCTTTTCAACAGGTGCTGCCCTTGTACATATGCATGCATACAAATTCACAATAAAAGACAAACAGTCAAATCATAATTCATATTTATGAAAAAATAAATCAATATTTAATTGCCAAAAAGCTCGCCTAAACTACATGCACATGAAAGGCATAACACAAACATCAACATTTTAACAAAAAAACCCCACATTTTTACCATTGTTTCAGAGAATTTGATTTGTTGACATTCGCTCCGCTCGGCCATCATAAAATATAAATGCTCTATGTTATAAAATATAACCTGGAATAATACCGCAGACTCAGAAAACTATTCTATGCCTTATTCGATCTGTTTGACAATGGAAATAATGTCCGATACATTCTGCTTTCTACGCTTGCCAGTGCTTGAACAAGTTTAGTATTACATATTCAGAAATAAAATCGCCTCGCTCTACAGGGAAATTATAATTGTCACAATCTCAATAATAATGAAATTTTATATATTGTTTAGTGCCAGAAAGTAGTATACATGTACAACCGACATGACAATTATAATTTATTATTTTTTTGAGTTTTTTTCTGAGTTTAAAATTTTGGGCAACACCCAAAATTAATTCCTGGGCCCCCCTGACTCTATACATATTGGCTCACTATTCCTATATGCTTGATACATATATACATGTTGCATGTATTAATTGGTATCATATTTGCACACACATGTATATGCTTTAAATATCATGCTAGAAATTTGCTTATTTACATGCTATTTTTTTTTATTTATCATATATCTGCTAATTTAAATACTAAATATCGACTAATTTATATACACGATATCGACTGATTTACATGCTAGATATCTGCTCAATTACATGCTAAATATCGACTGATTTATATACACGATATCGACTGATTTACATGCACGATAACGGCTAGATATCGGCTCAATTATCGTATGTATCCACCCGATTCTAGGAAGTTATCTGGTACATCCATACATGATTGATAGCGTTGCTTATTTACCATATATGGAAAATTTTACAGAAATCGTCCATTTCTTTAAAGTCACAACCTACAGGAAACAAGAGTATCAGTGCACGTGGAACTGATGTATGCTCTCCGAAAACAACCTTATTGGAGGTTTTTCCTTTTTGTTAATTTTGCATTTGGTTAGATATATGACACACGTTGTTAAAAATATGTTGAAATGGTGAGTTTGCATTGGAAGACGAACAATAATGTTTTAACACGTTACATACATGTATATATGTGTCTGACACAGAGCATATGCTTCAGCTATAAAATATGAAGGCATGTTTTACTGATAAAAAGTCTTCTACTATATGCCAGATATAAGCACTGATAGTTCTGTGTGTCAATGAAAATTTTGTTATTGTAAATTTTGTGGGAGATAGTCAGAATTCAAAAATATGCTTTTTAAAATTTAATTTCATGATCCTAACTTAAAGGCGGGTAAAATTATGCTCCTGACACATTCAAGCAAAGGGCAATAGCTATGTAAATAAGG